TGCTTGCTCAAACATGTTGGCAAGCCTGACAAGGCAGCTCCAATAGCCTTTCACAGAGAGGACACATGGTTTTCTCACCAGATTTGTTTGGTGTACCAAACACTTGATACGTAAAGCAAGCACATGAAGAGGTTCCTGATTATCTTCAGCTTCTGCTTTCCTTTTGAGCATAGCATGTCGCTCCACAGCCCATGCTGCGTCGTTTGCCTTCAAAGCATCTCCAACAAAAATTTGAGTTCTGATCGATCCTGTGGGAACAGCAAATGAATCTGCAGTCAATCCTAGCCTCTCCAAAGTCCTGCCAATTCCATGTGCGCATTGGACTGCAAACGAAGTCATTCCTCCATGGACATCCCCTGCCTTTGCCCCTGCAAGCACCATCAATGGCGATGGGATGGGCAGGGTCTTCCAACTGTTTGTTTGACTGTCGCAAGCTGGGTCAGCTTGTGAATATCTCACATGAAGAGATTGCACTGTATTGCAGATTGTAAAAATCTGACTTCTACCGGTCTGTGGCTTCAACCTCACTGTAGTATCATCTGCAATGATGCAGTTGACAATGTGCTCTGGCCGACCTGCTTGAAACAGAGTCTGAAGTGTGTTCACTAAGACCTGAAGAAAGCTGTACACACATCTGGCGCGATCCATTTTCCTTTTGTTATAATCTTGATTGTGTGAGGAGCCAGGGTTGAACAAATTCCTGGTCAAAAAGGTCTTCTGTAGCAGTTCCTGGCGAGAATCATGGATTTTCTCCTGAACTTTTGCCTCCAGTGAGCCCTCCCTTCGTCTTTGACGAGATTTCAGGGCCGCTTCTCGTGCATGCGCTGTTTGATTTTGTCGTTTCTGCCTCTGATGGTCATCATCACAGTCTGGATCTGGGTCAGGCTCAACAGTCTCCCAAATGGAGAAAAACGGCGACGATGACGATGCCATCAACAACAATGATGCGCTGAAGGCTGTGTGATGTTGAAAGTGCTGTTCTACTGTGTCAGGCTGCCTGGCTTGCCTTACCTACTGTGCAATGTATGTGGCTCCTGACAAGTTGGAAGTTGACGAGATTTCATACAGCCCTTGTCCATCCCATGTGATCCCCAGATACTTCAGGTAAAGCCTGGTCCTATCAATAGTGCATTGAATTGACTCAACCTATTTGATGAGCCAACAGCCAACTTGTGCAACCACAAGACTTGCCACGTCTTTGCTTGTAACTGGTGACTTGTATCACGATTCTGTGTTCTGATTTTTTGACTCATGATTTATGGAACCACCCACCCGGCCCAATTGAGATGCCTTGTAGGTCAAGAAGAAATCATCTTTTGGGCTGCCATCAGCAGGTTCAGGAAAAGGAGTGGCGATGCCCTTGACCTGCACAAGAATTGTGTCAAGGTTCAGGGGTTGTCAAGTTCCCTCATGTCTGTCCCGCATGTCTCAAGTTCGCTTGATGGCTGTGCTGGCTGTGCTACACAAATTCAATTGCTGTATGCACTGCACCTTGTGCTGCATTTACATACTGCTGTAATTACTGTATTGCTGACTGCACAGTGAAGTAATGTCTAAGAGTCTAAGAGTCTTAGACACAGTCACAGTCTATCAGGAACAGCCGGAATAGCTTTGAACGACCCTGCCAAGATATTTGTGCTCTCTTTCATTCTATTTTTGATGGTTTTTGATGCGTTCTGATGAGCTAAATGCAAACCACGCCTTGCCCGACCAACCCTGCCTGCTCCAAAAGTGAAATCGGTGGTTTTCTCCGTCCTTACTTCTGGCAAGTTGTGAATCAGGCCTGGGGCATTGGCCTGTGAACATGCTGTATTCAAGTAACATTGAACACTCTGAAACTCTCTTCTTACACAAATTTACCAGATCCGATTTCTATCTAAACAGTCTGTCATCCACCTCTCACACTGTACATGCTACTGTAAGTGTCTTTGTCATTGATTCAGAAATCCAAATATCAATATCACATGCTGCTACAGTAAGTGAGAGCCTGCAAAACTTGACTGTTCCTGCTACCTACCGAAATGCTTGGTGCACATAGGTTGCATATGTCTCTTCTGGCTTGCAGTTGTGATGGAACCTACTGTGCAACTACAGTGCTTCCCAGTCACGTATGTATCTCAAGCAATGAAGCAGAGGCTGAGCATCCATTTCCAGAAACGGGTTGTACCCTGCAAGACGCTTGCGCGTGCTCAATACCTGCAGCCGCCAGATATGCATGATGTCTTAGACCTCGCACGTTGTTTTCCTATTAGTCTAGTCCAGTCCAGTCCAGTTAGTCATCAAAGTCTTTGGCCTTTAGTAGTCTTTTGAGTGTTTAGTCTTCGGTTTGTCTTTGTCTTTAGTTGGCATCCAACGTCTCAGAACTTACATTCAGGACAGTGCTGTACCAAATGACAGGGTATCCCAAAACAAAATACCCCTGGCTTCCACCACTTACTTACCTGAATAGTGTCCTTTTGAAATGAAATACAGAATATTGAACACTGAATGACTGAGTACTCTTAATTGCTTGAACAAAACATATTCCAACCCAGGTACGCTGTATGGGGGGCATGGAGCCCCGAATAGGAACAGGTTCTCTGCAGGGGTGCTTTGAAGAAAGCACTTCTGATCATGCTGGAGACAATGAGCTGAGCAGTCTGCATTCTCAATGTCCGTCAGAATGTGTTGAACTTGGTGGTGGAGTCAAAGCATGGAAACCCTGTGTACTGACTGCCCTAGAACCTAGCTAGAAAACAAAATGCCGCAAATGCCACTCATACATTGGGTCAGAGCCTGGACTAGTTTTCGCATGTTACATGTTTGATTGTGCCTGAAGCCTGAAGCCTTCAATTTGGGGCATGACAGCCTATGGCGCAGCATGACTCATGACTTCTTAAACAAATAGCTGGACCACACCATCGTGACTAAACCGAGCATCCCTCACTCTGAAAATTCCGCTGGATGTAGTTTTGCTTGAAGCCACAGTTCTCCATCACGGCAACTGTTGTCCATGAGCAGCCCAATATGCTGGAGATCTCTCTCCTTGATTGAGCAAAATGAACCGAAAGGATTGACTGACTCTGGACTCTTGGAATGATACCTCCAGAGACTCTAACATCATATTATCATATCACTGTGACTGTGGCTCATTGAAAAACTGACAGAGCTGAAAAACCTGTCCAAACCTGTCCACGTCTTCCACAGACCATGGTCACACTATGGCCTGCCAGGATTCATCATCAATGTGCCAGGGGCACTTCCTGCACATCCTTCAACAATGCGAATCCTGACAATGAGTGTTGGCAGAATGTGATGTAGAAGCTGCTTGTGAACGGTAACTATATGATAAGTAAAGTAAGTATGCCGTATGTTGTATGCTGAATAGTCTGAACTCTGCACAGTAAACAAATTAAGATACATGAAATGAACCGGTCAATATTGGTTTACTGCTGTAGTATATGATGTATGTAAGCCCTCAGCATCCTGTCAACCCATGGTTTGGCATGTCTACAGCGCTGAAAGCTGAAAACACATTCTCACATGTCATGTCAGTCAACTTCTTGAAACCCCCAAAGTTCTTGATTTTACCAAGAGGCTCATTGAAGAACTTGGCATGACCCTCCAAGCCAATCGCTTTGCAGTAAAGGTTTGCCCAGTCCAGGTACACAGGTCGGCCAGTCCTCATGTGAGACATGCCACCTATTTCATAGGTGCCTTTGTGACCTTTGTGTGAGAAAAACCTGTGAACCTTGATGGAACCCTGCCTCACACTTGAAACAAGTCTGAAGTCTCATGAACAGGTTTGATAGTTGATTCTGATCACAAACAACCTTTGAGTCACGTCACGTTGTTCAAAAAACAAAAGACTGAATCATAGTTCAATGTTTCAAAAACTTGTTTTGCCTACAGCCTCTAATTTCAACTGTGTGTCTGTCTGTCTGCCGGAAACTCATCAGGGCCATGGTCCGCCATGATCTTTCGGTTCCGAGACAGAATCTGAAAAAAAGGGTCTCACTAAATAGAATTCAATTCTGAATTAGCCTACTGTGGCTGTTCATCTTTGATTGATGTCTAAACTGGACAGGAATGCTGTGGTTGGACGTTGCTGCATGTCACTGTGCAAACTTTGAAAAATGAACACCAAATTCAGTCAGAGCTTCTAATGCAGAAACCACAATGAGCCAACGTCCTCTGATGATGGCCTGATCCCTGTCTTTGCTGGCGCTCTCAGAGGTCTGAGAGTGGCTGGCAAGCAAAATCACGCAATCCTTCTTTGTCGTGCTGGCTGTGGTGGTTTTGGTGGTGGGGGCCTGGCTGCCATAGAAGTGAGTGGTGGTGCAGGAGGTGGGGGGGGAACTGGAGGTGGACGTGGGGGAATTGGGTAGGGAAGTCGGGGTGGCGGAGGAGGAGGAGGTGGGGGTGTCAAGAGTTGTGCTGCTGCATGTGCTGACTGGGTTGGGTTTGGGAGTGTGTGGGATGCTGCAGGTGTGTCTCTCTCTGTTTTTCTAATCTTTCTTCTCCTTTTCACTTTGACCTTGACCTTAACTCTCTTCTTCTTAGACTTCTTTCTGGCAACACTGTCAGCTGCCATGGCCCCAGTTGCCTGGTCTTAACCGATCATTGCTTGAGCCTGGATGTTCTTCAATAGTTGCTCAAGACTCAAGAATTCTCACATGAGTTATATATGTTCGTTGCAATTTGCAATAAGTGTTGTTTTTTGAACCACAATAGCCAATGCCAGGTGGCTAGGTCCTTAGCACTCAGTATGCAAATAGTTTATAAATAGTCCTGGAGGTTTTATAAATAGTCCTGGAAGCTTTATAAATAGTCCTGGATAGCCACATGTAGCTGACAGAAGGGGGGCCAATAAAGAGGCCCACGCAGGACCTAATGAATGGACATTAAGTTAAACTTAAACATTACTTCAAGTTACAGTGGGTCATGACTGGACAAACGGCAACGTGTCATTTGCCGCTGTTTCCACCAATTTTGTTCCATATTTTGCGTTCTAAGTTTCAATGGCTCCAAAACGGAATTGCAGACAGCAATGCCCTGCGGCCGGGCAGTCAACGCCTGAGGAAGGAGACCGAGTTCTGTTGCTCACCTGCCATTGGCTACGTGAGTTGGTTCATGGATCGAAGTCCTCGGAGGTAAGGGGCACTCCATTGCAGCCAGGGTTGACTTGGCTTGGTTGCAAAGGTCAGGTGCACGCCTCTGCAGAGCTGACAGACAGCCGTTTGATCGAAACTGTGGAGGAATTCAGATCCCTGGCAGAATTCTACAAAGTCGAGGCAAGCGAGCTGCCCTATAAGAGGACTTGGGTCACCACAGTCAGCAAGGTGAAGACGCTTCCACAGCCCGCTGGTTATGAAAAGGCATCCGGGCCTACGACATGGGCTAGATTCAAGACAGTGCCAGCTGAGGAGCCTAGCAAGAAGGAGGAGGCGACCAAGGTGATCAAAACGATCAAAAAAAACAAAGCTATGACTGCCAATGTCAAAAGTGTGGTTGTGGATGCAGCAGTGGCAGCATCAGTGCCCGTGCACATCCTGCTGCATCGTCAGGCATTCACAATTGGGTCAGCTTGCTCTGGATTGTGCAGCGAGTTGCACGCATGTTATCGCTTGAAGCTGCCCTTCATTCCCGTTTTTGGATGTGACATTTGCCGTCATTGCAAGGTTGTGTGCGAGGATACCTGGGGTCACTCGCTGTGGTACGACGACTGTCACAGCCAGGCCTTCATGGACAGTCCATACGTGGATGTGTTTTGCGCAGGATTTCCCTGTCAACCGTTCTCTCAAGCTGGACGACAAGAAGGAGAACATGACAGGCTTGGACGAGGCGAAATTGTTTGGCCACTTGTCCTTTGGATTGCGAACCATCTTCCTCGTATCTTCCTTCTGGAGAACGTCAGAAACATGCTTGACTCGCATGCGGACTTTTTGTGGCAGGTGGTCTCTGAATTGATGAACATCCAGCGGAACGGGCAAAAGGCGTATCATGTGTCCTGGAACATCTTGAATGCCAAGGACTATGGCACGCCCCAGAACAGGGAACGGTTGCTGATTGTCGGTATTCGCGCAGATTCTGGTGTTCGCAAGATGGCTTGGCCAAAGGAAGACAAAGCAGGGTCGAACTATACTTACATTGATGCTGCTGTTGAAGGCGACCCAAACTTTCCTGGAAGATTGCCATCCGGGAACACTGCGAAGACCAACCTGTTGACTGTCTTGAACCGCCTTCAGTCTGAAGGAAGAGATCCATTGAGAAACCCTTTCGTGGTTGACATTGATGGGTCGGATCCTCATTTCAATGAGGGCTGCTCGCCTTGCCTCACCTATACCCGTGCTGGAAGTCGTGGGCCTTGGCTTACCTGGAAGCAAAGGAAGATGAGCACATCAGAGATTTTGCGGATGATGGATTTGTCGCCGGAATCCGTGAAGGTGAGCCGGGTGACACCACGGCAGGTACGCCTCATGGCTGGAAATGCAATCCCAATCAAGATGCTGTCAATGGTGCTGCAGCAAGCGCTGCAGTGCGCCAACATGCTGTGAATGACACTGCCCTATATTTGCGCCAATTCATGCACAGTACAGTGGGCGCCACAGGCGCCACAAAGCCGGGGAGGACAAAACATGCAAAAACATGGCGTTGCGGGATATGACAGCTGTTTTTTTCAGGATGCCGTGATGGTATCCCGGTGGTGTGTTTATATGCCATGATGCCTCGATCGTGATGGTGATGGCGCGGAACAAGACATGTTTTCTGAGGCTGCGCGATCATAGCGGAGATTCATGGCGGCAGTGCCTGCAGTGCCCGGCGGCTTAGTTGAATTGCGGTCCAATTGTGGTCCAAAGAGGTCCAAAGAGGTGAGCTTGCTGTAGCATCCGGGCCCAAGTTGCACATTCCAGCTCCAAGCAAAAGTATGATACAGATATTTGCAAACAGTTGAGGAGCTTGACAAAGCTTCCCAGGACCTAACTCAGATTGCACAGGCAACACATTCCAATTGTAGTTTGCTGTGTCACGATGTGGTCCGGCGTCCAATGTGATACACACACATGCAAGATTGGATAGATTATATATATATATACATCAAAACTTTGCGTCTTTTTTATTGTTCAAGGCGCCGTTGTGGGGGATTGCAATGGCAAAGGCTGGACTCAAGGGTCACATGGACCATGTCCAGGAGTGTGAAGAAGACCAATGCTTTAGGTGCATGTTTCTCCAACATCGAGAAGCTTGGATGGAGAAGCTTCCGTGGTTGATCGAAAAGCACCAGGGCAAGTGGGGGCTGTTGTGCGCAGTTTGCTCACATCATGTGCCACAGCTATCCTTTGGGAAGGATGGATTCAATGGGCCAGGAAATTTCTACACAGTGAGCCGACATGAGCGATCAAAGCAGCACCGGCTTGCCTTGAAATTGGCTGGTCTAGGTGATGATGGAGATGCCGATTGCAGGGCGCCCTCCAAGGAAGAGTTTTCCAGCTTTGCGACCAGCAGGCTGACGGCCCGGTCACTGAGTTCCATGAAGGCTGAGGGTGGTCGGTGGAAGCTCACGAGACTTCAGGCTTGCCTGGGAGGGGCTTCGCAACGCTTGGATGCAGATTTCTGCCTCGCATCCACATGCATTGTGCTCCACCAGGATGTGCGTAGACTGGTTTTGATGGTGAGATTCAGGGCATGCAACGACCAGCTGGAGGTCAAGCGCGGTTTGCTGGGAATCCATCATCTTGAGGACAGCACGACAGCTTCGTTGATAGCTGGCACAAAAGCCGTCCTATACCAGTTCGTTCAGGGGGATGAGGACAAGTTCACTGCATTGCAGAATAGGGTCATTTTGCTCAACATGGATGCTGCTGCTGATGAGCAGCTCGCAGGTCGACTGATTGCGTGCAACCATGGAATTTTTCCTGGTGTATGGCAAGTCTGTCGTGATCGAGCACATGCCTTTCGGCGAGTCATTCACCGTCCGTTTAAGGCAACCGATGAAATTTGGGATGTGTTTCGCTCGTTGGTTTGGGGAAAAGACTCAATGCCAGCAACAATTCAGAGCAGCGATGTGCTGAAGAAGGTGTTCAGCCGTCACATCAAAGAGGAGGGCGGTGACCGGATTGAATCATTGTCGCTGTGCAAACAGCGTTTTGATTCGCGCAAGAAGGCCACCGGCCGCCTCATCCTGTGGCTACGTCCGACAATCAGGACTGCAATCTACGCTACGATCTTCAGAAAGCACGACAGAGACGGTCTGAGGGCTATGAACTTCTTGCGGTCTCTTAGTGAAGAGAGAGTCGTCCTGCTGGCCATGCTGGCTGACTTCACGGATGAAGCCACCAGCGTCATACGGTCCATGGACACCGAAGAAGGAGACCTCTCCTCCGATCTCATGGAGTTGGATGTGTTTGCAAGCAGGTTGAAACATCTCTTTATTGATGAGCACGCCACGAAGTCGGGATATACCAAGTTTGCTCTCGAGACCTTGGAGACCCCGATCGCCTTTGATGTGGATGACAGGCCAAAGGTGCTGGGTGGCCAAAACAAGGTGTCACCGGCAATGGTCGCCAGGTGCTTTCGATCTATGAAGAAGCTTGTTGCGCTGAGCACTGAAGTGATTGCTGCTGAGTACCCTTCACATGAGCTTTTGTCCTCTATGAGCATCTTTGATGTGTCGGAAGCAGCCCGGACCAAAAGGCATGAGTCTGCGGAGTTCTTGAAATCACTCCACATGGCAGCCGAACGGATCAGCCAAGTGTTCGGCGGGCTTGTTGATGAGTTTTTGGCAGAGTACTGGGATCACAAGGCCATAGCGTTCCATCACAATTCCACGAATCCTAGTAGCACTAGCTTTGAATCCTGGAAGTATGCAGTCCAGAAAACCAGTGCTCGCAAATCCACAGCGGCCCGGCATCCATCTGACAATTTGCACTGGATTCTTATGCATTTTGGAGCCATAGACGGATGCACGACATCTGGAGTGGAGCAGCATTTCTCGAGAATGGTGCGCATTGTTTCTGCTGACAGGAAACTGCTCTCGGAAGAGAACAAGAACTTTGAGTTGAAGTTCATGTTTGACTACTCCCCAGAGAATTCGAGTGAGTGCATTGAGATGGCTCGGCAGCTTTGGGTGGAATGGTATGGTGCACCTAGGACAGGATCCACCTCCAGACTTGACAAGGGCACAAAGCGTGGGCACCAGAAAGGTTCTGAGGCTGAGTTCATGGCCAAGAGACGCTGCTTGGAAGAACCCTTGCAGATTCAGTCCCATGATGAAGTGCGCCGCGAAGCAAGTGTCCATTTGCCAGCCGATTGTGAGAAAATCCAAAAAGAGTTGACCTTCCAGAGGAACAAGCAGTTTGCAAACACTATCCAGTCGTACTTGGCTGGCCGCTTGACAGCCAAGGAAGTCCCAGATGGGATGGTCGATGTGGCTGAAGAGTTCGTCAAGGCTGAGTGCGCCAAGGACCGGATGCGTGCCAAGGACCAGTCGCGGCTCCTATCGCTTTTACACCCCTCTCCTCCAAAGTTCGATTCGAACCAGTGGATATACTTGGAGAAACCTGAGTGGAGCTGCGAGTTCGATGGTTGCAAGGTGACCCAGGATCCGCTGCTGGCATTGTTTTTTCGTGGTGTCCAATCCACAGAAACCACCTTCAGAAGTGATTTGGGCAGCGTCGCTGCGAGGAGGTTGTGTTTTGGATCTTTCATGCATGCAAAGCATCATCAAGAACCGTCAAGACAGAGCCAGAACAGGAATCGCATTCTTATATGATGCGGGATACGCAATCAAGCGACAGATCTTCGTGTGCCCTAGCTTTCGTGCTGCAAAGGCGGAAGCCAGTGAGATCATTCAAAAAGCAATCAGCCAGCCGGGCTCGAAGTGGACATTGATTGATGGTGGCTGGGAACAGTTTGCAGCTCTATCTGAGAAGAACCAAA